GCTACGACAATGACTTCAAGAAGCTACGGGCGCACATCAATGCAAAGCTAAGAGGCAGGTAAAAATTGTTTGACACATCTCATAATTTTGGTGTACATAATACTTTTGGCTAGCATATTATGATATTATGGTACGTTATTGCTAAGCGAAAATGGGTTGAATATGCATGATAAAAATCGGTACCATACTTTTTGTGTCCTAGCTATTTTATTTATTTGTGTTTAGTATGTCACAAGATTTTAATTTGGACCTAGATTTAATATGTTACACGTATAAATGAGAAGATAAAATTTAGGGGGAAGAAAAATTCAAGTTAAAAGGAAAAATGCAAACCCCACGATCAAAGTCTCATGTATACGTTAAGGATTGTCCAATTAAAAATCTCAAAGTCTCAATTTTTGTTAAACCCGTCAATTGGCTAGTCGAAATAAAAGCAATTAAAAGAAATTATTTTTCAAAAATTGACAAAGCCAAAATGACTTGGGTATAAGTTTCGGCTCATCAAAAAGGGGGAAATTGTTAGGAATAAAATGTAAATTTTGATGAGCCGTATGTATTTTTGAAAAATCAAGTAGTCCCCAATTCTATTTTATTTGAGTCAGTTTAAATCTACATAGTTTGGTGCACCCATATCATGCAACCCATGTACAAGTCTGGAAGATCAAAATTTATTTGAAGAAGTTAAGCGGGATTATGGCTTAACACAATTATGATGCAGATAAATCACCAAGAACCATGCTAGAAGAGTTGGATGATATGTGAGTAAGCTATGCCAAATGGTCCTAAGTTTGAATCTCAAGTTAAGCATTTTTACCTTACTTGGGAGACTAAGGAGCACCAAGAGGGAGACTAGCTAGCTTGGGAGACTAACCCCAAGAAGGAGATTAGCTAGCTTGGGAGACTAACTCAAGAAGGAGATTAGCTAGCATGGGAGACTAACCTCAAGAAGGAGACTAGCTAGCTTGGGAGACTAACCAAGATGAATGCACAAGTCTCACAAAAGTCATGCACCAGATGAAGAAACACACCAAGTATGGTGGACCAAGTACAAAATCGAAACAGAGCATCTCACCATGAACAACTATGAAGATTTTACAGAAGGTTCCAGTATATTAGTCTACAAGGATCATGAAGGAGAAAATGAACTGATATACTTTCATCTAAACATCAATCTTTTTACGGTGGAACCGGAGACGCTCGAAGGAGGCTCCTTCACGGAGATATTGCTTCATACTCAAGCAAGAATCAGCAGATAAATTATTTGATCAACTTGATATGTCAGAACATTTATGAATGACAAGAAATGTCAAGATTGCCACGCCGAACTTATTCAAATCTTGGAGGCCACAAAATTCAAGATACGGCAACGAGCAAAATATTCAAATCATCTGACAAAAGGCGAAAAGACTTATACCTAATATTTCAGATCAAGTTGACAATTTTATTTTGATCAACTACATATGAAGATGGACGATCGAGATCGAAAGTTGATCAACGAGCAAATAGCTTTCATTGGCTATAAATTGCCCAAGCAGACTTGAAGAAAAATACGAATTCTACACTTGAACAAAGGCTGAAAAATTAAGATATTCAAGCAAGAGAAAAGCAAGCAATATTCAAATCAGCCAAGAAGCAATATATTGAGCTATATACGATAGAATTCAAGTCTGAGTGAGAGAAAAATTTTATCTCTTTGTATTATTCTCTACTGAGTGTAGAAAGAGGGCGGAGTAACTAGAGAGAGGGAAAATTCCTGGTTGAGTGTAGCTCTGTGCGTAGCACTCGTTGTAAAGGGCAGAGTAACAAGGGGAGCTTGTGAAAACCCTATGAGAGCGTAGTTTTGTGCGTAGTTTTCGTGGTGTAGGAGTATAGCTTGGTGCGAAGTACTCGGGAAGGCGGAGTAACAAGAGGAGCTTGCGAAAAACCTTGAAGGAGTGTAGCTTTGTGCGAAGCACTCGGAGAAGTGTCAGTGGACACTTATTCACTATTGTATCTGGGTGATCGAAGAATAGTGAATTTCCTCCTTGAAGTGAAAGGAGAAGAGTGGAGTAGGAGAATTACACCATCTTCGAACCACTATAAATCTCTCTCTCTATTTACTTACTACTCATATATTTTGTGCATGTTTATTCTAACTGCGAACTAACCCGATTACGATTTATCGCATATCTTTATCTATCTGGTTTTGATAGTTCCCACGTTTGCATGCAAGACAAACTTTACGTACATCATCTTTGAACCATATCAAGTGTTTCTAACGTGTTGCATGTCTAGAATCTCTCTTTGAGCACCGCACTATTTAAGCATAACACTTTGCCGCTACTTATTCCGCTGTGCACTCTAAGTTGTTTAACTTGCTTATGCTTATTATTTAGAGTTGAAATTACCAAATTGTTATTTTCCTTGTGTATTTTGCAAAAAGAAGTTGAAAAGTTAGAGAAGTCTATTCACCCCCCCCCCCCCCCTCTAGACTTCTCGCCACCCTTTCGGGACCAACAAATCATGAGAGTGACGTTGGCACTTGTACCATTTCCCCAAGTTTGTCATTAGGAAGTTCATAACTTTAACTTTAAACTAGACAAGGTATTCTATGCAATGTTGTTTGGTTCAAATGTCTCTTTTATACATTGTCCTTCAATTTAATTCACTTGTTATCAGTATATGTTATTTGAATATGAAACATTTAGTTATCTATTGGTTAGCTTTAAAACACTATATGAACTCGTGCTTAACCCCTCACTTCTTAAATACGCTTAAAGCCATTCATTGAGGACGATACTCTTAATTTTAATTTCATCACTAAAACCAACTTTCAAATGGCGCCGTTCCCAGGGAATGACATCGGTTTTGAGTAGTGAGTCCATTTGGGTTAACAAGAGATAACATTAAAGTTAGAGAGTCTAACCCCATTTACTTTTTGATTTGCAATTTACTTTGTTTACTTGTGAACTTTTGTCTCTTGAAATGAAACTACTCTCTCAAGCAACTACTTTTAGTTGCAAAATCTTTCTCTTGTCTTTGTGATTGTAGGTTGATCCAAGATGATGTTTTCTATGTCAAGATTCCAACAAGAGGATCAAGGAAGCTATAAGCCACAAAGGAGATGCTATGATGCTCAATCTTTCAATGGTCACAACTACGGAGACTTTAAGGACTATAGCTCACCTTTCCCAAGAAGATATAACTAGAACTTCACAAGAGGAAAATCGACCAAGAAATCCACCACCACTTTGGGCTCAATATGATGATCAAGAGATGGCTTATGATGATTATTACCATCCAAGGAGAAACAAAAGCCATTATAAAGAGCCTCAAGACCACAATCAAGACCAATATGAAGGATACGAGGACTATTTTCCCTAAGAAGGATACAATGATGCTCAATCATATGGATGAGATAAGGATCACCGTTTCTATTCCCAACACAATAGTGATTACAGAACTGTAATCTAAATACAAAGCGTTAACTATTCCTATTAACTAGGAAAGCCTGAAATAACTAATCTAATATAAGACTAGTCAAAACTAATATTACAAATAATGGAATAAATAATAACATCACTAACACACCCCCTCAAGCTCAAGAGTGGTGTGGCACAATGTTGAGCTTGTCACGTAGATCTGCAAAGCGGGGCCCTGGCAAAGGTTTTGTAAATATATCTGCAAGCTGATCCTTCGTCGAAACAAAATTAACAATCAAGTCTCCCGACACCACCTTGTCCCGAACGAAGTGGAAGTCAATCTCTACATGCTTGGTCCTGACGTCAAACACTGGGTTGGCGCAAAGGTAGGTAGCACCCAGATTATCGCACCAAAGCGTAGAGGGTTCTCCTGAGTGTAACCCAAGCTCACGAAGCAGAGAGACCACCCAGGTAACTTCTGCAGACACATCGGCGAGGGCCTTATACTCAGCTTCAGTCGAGGACCGGGCTACTGTGCACTGTTTCCGAGAGAGCCATGAGATCAAATTACCACCGAGAAACACAGCATATCCACTGGTGCTCTTCCTGTCGATAGGACAACCGGCCTAGTCCGAGTCAGAAAACCCATGAATAGTGGACGAAGCGGAAGCGGAGAGGCGCAGACCATATGAGATAGTGCCTTTGATGTATCGCAGCACACGCTTCAATAAACCCCAATGATCACTGGTAGGTGAGTGCATAAACTGACATAGGCGATTGACAGAGAAAGATAAGTCAGGACGGGTGATGGTCAGATACTGAAGTGCCCCCACTAAGCGACGGTACTGCGTCGGATTGTCGAACAGTTCATCAGATGAAGTCACTGGCTGAGTAACGGCAGCGGGTGTGGCGAGTGGCTTGCAATCCGTCATGCCAGCACGGTTGAGAATGTCCCTCATATAACGTTGCTGCGTCAGTAAAAACTCTGAGCCATCTTTTAACGTCTCGATCCCGAGGAAAAAACTAGGAATTCCAAGGTCACGAATTTTGAACGTTGTTGACAGTCGTCGTAGTAAACGTGAGATGAGCTCAGGGTCGTTGCCCATCATTATTATGTCGTCGACATAAACAAGTAAGTACACTCGTGACGTCCCAGTAGAGTAGTGAAACAGGGACACGTCTGTTTTAGAGGATAAGAAGCCTGTAGAAAGTAAAAAGTCATGTAAATGCTTAAACCAAGCTCGGGGTGCTTGTTTAAGCCCGTATAGTGACCGTTGAAGATGACACACACGATCTGGATGTGTCGGATCTTCGTACCCCGGTGGCTGCTTCATATAGACAGTTTCAGCTAGATGGCCGTTTAAAAAGGCATTATGGACGTCTAGCTGGCGCATAGTCCAGCCGCGTGAAACTGCAAGAGCAAATAATAAACGAACAGTAGTCGGTTTGACTACAGGACTGAATGTGTCAAAGAAGTCTTCACCAGCCACCTGGTTAAACCCTTTAGCCACAAGCCGTGCTTTATACCGCTCGACCGAGCCATTAGCATTCCGTTTGGTACGGAACACCCACTTGCACCCTACCACATTCATGTGTGGCTCAGCCGGTACAAGCAACCGGACACGACTTTAGGACGCGATTTCGCACATGGCCATTTGGATGTCCCAAGCGACGATGCCAAACCGTGGGAGTTGCCCGGGCAGAAATGTACGCGAAATGGGATTGCGAAACTGGGAGCTTGTACAAGCCACCCGACGTGAGACCTTTAAGCAGAACCGCCTTGGTGATTGTATCCTTCACAATAAAACAATTCTTGTGAAATTCAACAAAAACATTATTTTCATTCGTAAGGCGATAAACAGACAATAAAGGTACAGATAATTTCGGGACATGTAAGACATTTGACAAACGTAACACTTTTGACATAGATGGTATAGTAGCATGGCCTACGCGTGAAATTATCAAACCTGTCCCATTACCCACGCGGAGGACATCGCCCCCGGCATACTCTTCGGACGGCGACATCATGGATGCATCCGGGGTGGCATGGGCCGTTGCCCCGGTGTCCGGAAACCAGCTTGCTGTCGTGGAAGCCGCTGCTGTCTCGTCTCCGGAAACCACCATATTGCCCTGTGGTGCCGGCTGCGGCGCATAGCACTTGTAACAATAGAGGGTAGTGTGCCCTTGTACACGGCAGATTTGGCAGCGCGGCGCCCCGCCACGGCCACCACGCCCGCGCCCTTGTCCTCCCCGGCCTCTGTGCGAGGAGTTGCGGCCACCAGACCCGGAGCCACCTCGCCCGCTTTCACCGCCGCCACGACGTCCCCGCCCGGCGAACATAGCATCCGGAGCAGAGATCATTGCAGAGTCAGGGCTGGCCGGATAATCATCTGAATAAATAAATTCCTGCGCTCGCAGGTAGTCAGCAATTTGCGGGATTGTGACTGGTGTTCCGGTTGCGGTAAGGGAGGATGCCATGGCGCGATATTCCGGGCGCAGACCGCGGAACACGAATAGATTTTGTTCGTCTAGCGAGATGGGGCGTCCAGCATGTGCGAGATCCTTGACCAAGAGCTGGGCACGGCCTAAATACTCTGTTGCCGTGCTGTTTCCCTGTCGGAGGGAATGAAACTGCCCCAATAGACTAAGGCAGCGTGCGCGCGTTGAACTCCCGAGTGCCGCTCCGATTGATTCCCAAACGGCTCGGGATGTGGTTTTCCCAACCGCTAAATGCATGACCTCATCGGAGAGCGATGAGATCAACAGGGAGAGAAGGGCTTGGTCCTGCTTGACCCACGCCCGGTAGGCCGGATTCGGAGTCGGCGTAGCTGTGGTGGCGTCGGACGCGGACTCGCTAGTTGCCGGAGCAGCGGGGATGGTGGGCGGTGGGCATGGTGTCTCGCCGTCGACGTAGCTGAGGAGCTCCTGGCCACGGAGGAAGGGCACCAGTTGCGTTCGCTTAAAGAGAAAATTGCGATACGTCAACTTAATAGACACAAAGTGATGTGCTCCAGAAAGGGAATTTGCGGAGGGGTTCGGGAGGGATAGATCGCCGGCAGTCACGGTTCGTTCAGACGAATTCGTGGACATGATGGCAGTCACGGTTCGCCGGCGGTCGTTATGGGGTGGAGCTTACGATCGCAAGGGATCGGAGAAGGGGAGAGAGGAGAGAGAAACGAAGCGAGCCTGGACTGATACCAGATGAGATAAGGATCACCGTTTCTATTCCCAAGACAATAGTGATTACAGAACTGCAATCTAAATACAAAGCGTTAACTATTCCTATTAACTAGGAAAGCCTGAAATAACTAATCTAATATAAGACTAGTCAAAACTAATATTACAAATAATGGAATAAATAATAACATCACTAACAATATGGTCCTTATCCAACTCAAGCTCCACCTATAGAAGATGGATATAATAATGCTCCATCACAAGATCATCAAGACTACCCATACTACTCCAACCATTACGAGGATGAGGAGTACACGATGCAACCATATAAGGGGGGAAGCAAGGAAGACATGAGGAATAAGATCTTGGCAATGTTGGAAGAATTAAAACAAGACATGACTCACTTCCAACAAGAATGGAAGCAAGAGCTAAGGCAAGTGGCCTCCATATTAAGGCAAGAGACTCAGCATCAATCTGGAACTTTGAAGATCAAATGGCTTAAGCCGCCAAATGTGAAATGAAGGAGAAAACACTTGTTATAAGACCGATGTTGGTGATTGCATGCTTGAATGTGATGATGCTTGTGCTCAAACTTGTGGTGATATTTGTGATGTTGATGTTGTTGGTGCTTGTGGTGAGAATATTGGTGAGGTTGTGGATGATGAAAATGAAGTGAAAGGAGATGTGATAGAGGAAGAAAAACATAAAGAAAATATTGCGGACAAAGAAGAAAAGGTTGAAAGTAAGAATCTGTAATTTGAGGAAATTCATTGCCAAATCGTTAAAGAGGAAGAGAATAAGAAGATGGAGTATGAGAGTGAAGAAGAGGGAGGTGAAGAAAAGTTATGAGATGAAAATTTTGAAGTGGAAATGGAAGAAGAATGGGAAAAAGAGGAAGAGAATAAGAAGATGGTGTATGAGAGCATATTCTTTCAAGTAGATCAATGCCAAACCTTGGAAGAGAATATGCTAGTATTGAGCTTCAAAGAGTTTGTGAACGCCCGACACTTGAGGGCGTATCTTGAAGAGCAAGTGGATGGGGTAAAATGACTAGTTCTCATCCAAGTGTCCATGGATGGTTGGTTGTATGTTGCGTTGAGCCAAGGACGTTAAACATGGCGCTTCTTGGGAGGTAACCCAAGGTTATCTTACTTTTTATTATTTTCATTTTTTCCATTATATTGTGTGGTTTTTAATTTTCTAGGTAATCTCTTGTTGGTTCAAGATCTTCTAGAAGGAGATCGGAACTTTGGTGGAAAAACAAGCAAATGAGAAGGGGTTTTGAATGATCGGGATAGAACGGGCATGAGGAATGTACTACCTTTGACTATCACTCCAAGGGAGTTACCTACACCCTCCAATCCCTATTCTTGCATGATTTAACCATAACCCATTCATATGCTTGTTTCATTGTTGCATGCACCACCCTATTTTATAGGCCCACCCCCACACTAGTTGTTTGTCTAATGTTTTGCCTTGCTTGGGGGTAAGCAAGTTCTAAGTGTGGGGAGGTTTGAGATTGTTGAGAGTACCTTGTGTTTTCTTTGTGTTCATGCTAAAGATTGGGTAAATAGGTGGCACATTTGAACTCATTTGTCTGTTGTTGTTCCTTTTACCCTGCATTTGTTGTGAAAGGAGTGTTATAGGTTCAATTGGCTAAAAATTTTTGGAAACAGCCTCTTAGATCGTGTGAGATTTGAATAGGACCCAACTAGGATTTATATTCGTTTTGTATGCTTGTTTGAGGTTCAATCCACCACTTACATGGACCTAGGTTAATGATCTCTAAAAATGGGAGTGTATACGGGATAGTTTTGTGAAATGTAACGTGGTAAGACCTAGAATGAATTTTCTTGGTGTGACGCAAGGCAAAATGAGAGATTTTACATTTAGTGAGTTGTGTGATTCCTACTCCCAATAAAAAAAAGGCAAGAGGGTTGAAAAAAAAAAGTCAATGGAAAAAGCTAAAAAAGAGTTTAAGCTATCCTTGCTTGAGAGGGAAAAACATGAGGTGAGCCATCTCGTAGGATTCAGGTAACCATTGAGGTTTTTGGTTTTCTTAAACTTTGAGCCAATTGAGGGTGTCACACTCGTTTCACCACATTTCCCGGGTAGAAGGAGGATCAACATGTGTTTGATTTCCTGTGTATCACCTGTTTGCACAATCATTTAGAAGAAGTAGAATTATGATGAGTATGTTTGGCATTTCTACTTGTGATTTCTTGGATTTTGTCTTGCTTGAGGCCAAGCAAGGTCTACGTGTGGGGAAATTTGATATGCCATGAAATAGCCTTATATTTGTGATCATTTATGCTTGTTTTGGCTCAAATGTTAGGTAAAGGATGGTGCAACAATGCAAATTTGATGTATCTTGATTGCAGAAAGAAAAGATTGACTAACGGTGCAAGCAAGTATGAAATGCCGCTAATCTTGGGAGAAAACGAGGGTCGAAAGAACTAGGGAAGCACCCGAAGGCACACCGGGGAACGAAGAAGCAAAATGATAGCATGAAGGTCATTTGGCGGGACTCATGCTGACACTCACACCGTGAGTGCCAACATGAGTCCTTGGCTGATTCTCTGGTTAGGAGACTCACGGTGTTAGTCTCAGCATGAGTCTGCTGATCAGATTCTGATCACTGAACTCATGCTGATAGTCACACCGTGAGTGTCAGCATGAGTCTCAATGATCAGAATCTGACCAATGAGACTCACGGTGGGTCTCCGTTTTATATTTTTGCATTTATATTACTTGAACTTTTAAATTCCATGTTTATTACTTCAATTGATTCTAGTTTTACATTTCAATTATGAGTAGTTGAATATATCTAGGGATTTGAATTGAACTTCATTGTATGGATGCCAGTGTGACATGAATTGCATACATTAGATTTTGTATTGCCTTCATGTTGAACTTGGTTATGAATTTGATGAAATTGAATGTAATCTTTCATAGTTATGCCAAATTATGCCAAAGATATTTGGAATTGGTGAAATCACCTATGAGAATAGGGTTACACCATAGCCATATCGTTCATATTTCTTACTTTCCTTTGAGAAAAGGGAGTTTGAAGGAAATGAGCACACATAACAATAGTTTGTTGTAGCAAAACGAATCAACTAAACACAAGAGGTAACACATGTAAAGGTAGATAGGGTTGAATTTATTAGTGTGGATTGTGATGCTTTTGAATCATTTAACATAGGGAAAGAATGATGCAAATGCTAAGCCCTAGGGAATGACATATGTCCTTTCGTAACATAGAGTACTAGGACTTGCATATGACTTGCCTAAGCCTTTCATCGAATACCATGCCTACATTACCTTTCATCGAATACCATGCCCACAAAAGCATACATGAATCTAAATCTAATCTAAGCAATAGAAATGAAAGAGTAGATATTATACCAAACAAGTAGATTAGAAAATAAGAAGAAGTCTTGCAAGATCTCTTGAATTGGAAGTTGTCAATCTTTTCCTTCAATGAATCTCCCAAACAATCCAAGCATAGATTTGCAATCTAGAGTGTTTTCTATCACTACAAAATGTCGAATCTCTTCCTCTATCTAAAAACGTGTAAAAGTCTAAGAGAGTTCTTCCAAAAGTGGCTTCTCCTCCTCTAAAACTCTGATCTAAAACCTTTTAAATAGCATCCCCTTTCAGTCCCTATCGCAGCCTTCAACACCCGGGACAACGCACGTTGTCCGGGAACTTATTCTGCCTAACGCGCATCACAACGCACGTTGTGATGCGCGTTGAACTTTCTGGAAATCTTCTTTGTTTTTGCCTCTCCACAATGCATGCTGAAACACGCGTTGTGGCCTTCGTGGCTTAGTCTTTGCTCGTCTTCTTGTCCCGCTTTCGCTCTGGTTGTGCGACTTTGCCTCGTTTAAGCCTGAAACTTACCTAAAAATATATAAAACACAAAACCTAGCTAAATTGGCATAAAATGGATACACAAAGGATTGTTTTAGACTTAGAATTCACCCCAAATAGACCTTAAAAGTGTGTCTTCGACACTTATCAATAACTTAAACTTTTGACTGCACAAGGTATTCTATGCAATATTGTTTGGTTCAAATCTCTCATTTATACATTGTCCTTCAATTTAATTCACTTGTTATCAGTATATGTTGTTTGAATATGAAACACTCAATTATCTATTAGTTAGCTTTCAAACACTATATGAACTCGTGGTTAACCCCTCACTACTTAAATACTCTTAAAGCCATTCCTTGAGGACGACACTCTTAATTTTAATATCTCCACTAAAACCAACTTTCAAAACCCAAACCACCTTTCTCTTTCGGGACACTTAAACCATTCCACGCTCTCCACCTTATTCCTCGTCGACCACCTGCCGATCCAGTCCACCAATATTGTAACACCCCCGATTTTACTCACATTTTTAAACTTAAATTCAAACGATAAACAACTAATCATTAAGGCAATCAAAATCGGAAGTTATTAAAACCGGGAAAGGTGTTATGCCACACCCATAAACCATGGGTGCAAAGGCTAAATCTATCACAATCATTAAGCATAACAAGTCTAGGCACACAGGCCACTAATCTAGGCACACAGGCCAACAAAAGATAAACATCTAAGCACAGGAGCTACACTATCTAGAGTCCACATCTAGCCCGCTCGTCATCTACTCAAGACCTGTAAAACATAGGGATAACACCCGGTCTGCGAATAATGCTGGTAACCCATAAATACGCGTTAAATAGCATAGTATAGATAGATATAATCAAAGCCATTTGGAACTGAGGAATACAATATATAGTCATTTCAAAACGAGAAGAAGATCAACATCAAAGACTCATCACACTCTCAATAAGTAGAGGATCATCAACCTCAACAAGACAACTACCCACAACAACAAGGGACAACATAACTCTAGATGCAACCTACCATTCACAAGGTAGAGTTCATCAAACACATGCTCGTAAGCAAGGGAATCATACAATCACATAATGACACATTCAAGTTTCAAGTACCACCAATGTCATTCATATTCACACATAGTCATCATCATCAAGAGGACTAAGGCTCATCAATATCTCTTATCAAGTATCAACAGAGGGTACACCAATTTTTACAAGAATACACCATAATCAAGAAAGTCACGAGACAATACTCAATAATCAAGGATTAAAATCCAACTTCAAAATGATTGACAACACGAGTTGCCAACCCATAACAAGAAGGAACAAACCGTACATACTAGCATATCAACATCAAGCTAGCATGCTCATCAAAAGGATAAACCAAAAGGGTTCCAACGAACCTTCAAGACTCATATTAGCCCAACGAATCACAAAGTTGGACCCTTAGCACAATTCAGGACACCAAATCCTAACACATCGTTCTAGAGATACGAAAAGTCAAGAAGACTCACAAAGAGCTCAATAATCAAGCAACAGGAGGTCAAAACATCAACACCAAGAAGAAAATAATCACGGGGAACAAATCCCCGCACCAACAATAATGGTTCCCCGCGGGTGGGGCCACGGGTAGACCCCCACCTGTGGGCCTGCCCGCGGGTACATACCTTGTTCACCCAAGTTCCCCGCGGGTGGGGCGGCAGGTAGGCCTGTAACACCCCCGATTTATCTACATTTTTAAAACTTAAATTCAAAGGTAAAAATCTAATCATCAAGACAAACATTAAGCGGAAGCTATATTAAAATCGGGAAAGCATTATGCAACACCCATAAACCATGGGTGCACAGGCTAAAGACTATCAAAACAATAAGCATAACAAGTCTAGGCACACAGGCCAACAAAAGATAAACGTCAAACATGGGATATATACTATCTAGAGTCCTCATCTAGCGCGCACTCCAGACTAGGCAAAACCTGTAAAACATGGGGATAACACCCGGTCAGCGAATAATGCTGGTAACCCATCAACAAGCGTTAAGTATCATAATATTCATAGATATAAACAAAACCATTTGAAGTTGGAATACAGTATATATCATTTTAAAACCGAGAGAGAGGAAACATCAATAGGCTCATCAATCACTCACAACAAAGGTCAAAGACTATCATACTCAACAAGACAATAGAACCACAAGCAAGAAGCTCAATAACAAGGTACAACGTACGACACACAAAGAAGGATTCACAAAATATATGCTCTTAAGCAACGAGAGGCCAGATTCACACCATAACGACTTCCAAGTCCACATAAGACACAATCACACCAAGTCATATACCATGGAGTCAGCACCACGGCTTGATTCATAGTGGATCAGTGTGGAGGGCTCCAAATCATCAATAAACATGTATCACGTAGTCATCACAACGACCCGTATCACATGCATAGTGTCATCGCAATGACATGGAGCGCAGATCAATGGAAACAAAGCTAGTTACTTTAAGTGTATACACCCCCTATTGAGATCCCGAGCTAAACGGGTTAGCTACTATCTCTGGCAACTGCAAAGAGTATCCCATGTTGCCCACAAGTCACAAGTAACCAAACGGAAATCCGGAGCTTTAAACCCACTACCGGATGCAAGCACACATAAGTCCCCACACTGTCCACTTTACCAGCTCAATCATCATATCACATTAATCCATCATCTCAACAAGAGTCAATACACACGGAATCTAGAGATACAACAACACCTAGATTCCACATAAAATGTGTGTACAACACAGGATAAGCTCAACAATAGCTTGATCAAGGAAAAATCATACACACGGGATCACATCATGGGATTCAATCAAGGGGTTTCAATGGAGGACATGAAACAATACTCAACAACAACAATGGACCTCAATCCAATATCAACATGATTGGCAACACGAGTTGCCAATCCTCAATAGAAAGGGACAAACAACACATACTATCATCAATGACACCAAGACTAGCATGTATATCAAACGGTTAAACCAAAATGGTTCCATCGAACCTTCAAGACTCATATTTGCCCAACGAATCACAAGGTTTGACCGTTAGCACGATTCAAGACACCAAATCCTACCATGGATTCATAAAACATCGTTTTAGACATATGGAACCTCAAGAAGACTCACAAAAGCTCAACAATTCAACAACGGGAGGCCAAAACATCAAGTACCAAAAAGGAAATGACCACGGGGAAAAATTCCCCGCAGTCATTAAACATGTTCCCCGCGGGTGGGGCCACGGGTAGGCCCCCACCCGTGGTTCCACCCGCGGAGTACGTCCTGCACCCAAAAATTAGCATTCGCGGTTTTTCTTCTACAAGGCTAAGTTGAACTCCAAATGACCCCAAATCTTCCACACAACAAAGATATGACTTGAACCTATGAATAGCTCAAATAAAAGCATTTAAGAACCCTAAATACAAGCTCTAAAGATGCATTATCCCAAGATCATGCATCAATCACTCAAACACATCAAGAATGTCACATAGTAGCCAATAATCATTATTATCAAGTGAAAATAGGTTTTGTGTAGCATGGGTTACCTCTTGTAGACCAAGAACACCTTCTTCAACCTCAAAGCAAGACCAAAGCTCCTATAGATCAACCTAGCACTTCACCCACCGCTAGATCTTCTACAAACCCCCAAAACCCACAAGGTAGAAGAAAGATTTAGAGAAAAGATGGAGGAATCTTGTAAGGAAAAGGTAGGGAAGGATAGATCTTACCATTCCTATCCTTGTAGTTTTGGAAAGTTGGAATGTTGGTGGAAGACTATGAAAAGCTTGGAAGTTCCCTTTTTGACATGGAGAAAAAGATAGGATTCTTTTAGAGAGAGGTTGGAGAGTTTTTAGAACTTTGACTAGCATGGAATGAAGAAAATAGGTCTTGCTAGGGAAACATGAGCACTTCTCACTAGTGAAAAGACCAAGTTACCCCTACTAATGTTAGGATGAATAAGGGATTGAGGTACAACACATAAGGCACAAGGTGCACCAAGAAAACTAGTCAATTTCTAGTCGTTTGACCATGAAGTTTCAGAATTTTAGGAAGAAGTTACCAAGGAAGGCTAAGATTAATTCCTTAATTAATCCCAATTAGCATTTAGATTTACGGGGTGTCACATCCTCCCCCCTAACAAGAAGCTTTGTCCCAAAAGCTTGGGCACGACGAGTTACCAAAAGGACTATCAACGAACAAAGGTGTGACAAGAGAAAGCAATGAACAAAGGTGTCCACCAACTAAACAAAGCTAAAGAAATCAAGGTTTCAATTTACGGTGATAAGATTGATAGGCTTAGAAATAGGTTGAAGGTTCACAAAGCTAAGTCAAGAAAGAAAGATAATGTGATAAACAAAAGAATTAGCTTTGTTTAGAAATAGTGCCCCACAGGGTCCGTACCCGCGGGTAGGGCGACGGGTGGTGCCCCGCCCGCCGTTCCGCCCGCGGGTACAATCCTGTACCACAACAACACACTTCGCGGATTTTCAACTCCAAACCCAAATTCACGTCCAAAACATGCCAAATCTCACCAAATACAACAAAATGACTTGAATCAAAGGAAATGCCAAGCAATGGCACACAATAACCCTAAACACAAGCTCTAGATATGCATTTTCACAAGACAAATGCATAAACACTCACATTTCATAGCAAAACACAAGTAGAATCCAAGAAATCACATATAGGTAAGCAAAATATGTTTTAGTAGAGCATGGGTTACCTCTTGTAGACCAAAAGACTTCACTTACACCTCAACAAGCTCCCCACAAGGCTTACTTTCCAAACCCACTTCAAGAATAAACCAAAAGATCATAAAGACTTACCTTTAAGAAAAAGACATCTAAGACGGAACCAAAAACACAAGATGGACTTAGATCTTACCCTCCTAGATGCCCAAATAGGTGAAAGGTTGAATCTTGGAAGCAAATCTTGGAATCTTGGCAAGGTCTCAACTTAGCTTGGAGAAAAAGCTACTCACCTTTCTAGAGAGAAGGTAGAGCTAATATTTTAGAAAGTGTACGGATGAAATGAAGATGTCTTCTAGGTTAGGTTACAATACTAACACTTGGTGAAAGGTCAAGAATACCCTTACTAACATTTAGAAACTGTAAGGAACAAGGGAACTCTCTTCAAAGCTCAAGGTACAACATGACTTTGAAGTTGACTAGTCAAATACTAGTCTTCAAGTATTAAAAATCAAGATTTTAGGAATTAATTCCTCAATTGAGATAGGATTAATTACTCAATTAATCCATGGATTGAATGTGGATTTTTGGGGTGTCACAAGTCTCACGACTCTTAGAGTCGTTCCTTTGAAGGCTTCTAGATGGTTCGGCACCGGAAACTGACAAACTCATAACCACAGGTGCAACACTTGTTTCAAAACTCCTCTTACGGCTCTCCCGGATTCCTTTCTGAACTTGCTGCACCCGGTAGAGGTCGGCTGCACAAAGGTATGCCTCATTGAGAGTCTTGGGCTTTGACACAGTCATGGCTTTCCTAGCCTCGAAGTTGAGTCCGGCCACAAACTTCTCTACTTTACTCTCCTCGGTAGGTACCAAAACTGAGGCAAAACGGGCTAACTCCAAAAACTTCTTGTGGTACTCCATTACCGACAAGGGTACTTGCTTAAGGTGGAGGAACTCCTCGTAATTTTCCGCCTTGACATGAGCAGGATAGAACAGCTCACGTAGCTTATCCTTCAGGATTTCCCAACTAAACCCCGGATTTTGTCTACAAGCTGGCCTTTCAAGCATCCACCACAAGTCTGCTTCTTGCCTAAGGTAGACCGTAGCTAACTCCACTTGGCGATCCTCCAGGCAGACCACTACTTCGAAGATCTTGTCAAACATCCGAATCCACTCTTCCAGCACGGTGGGATCTTCTTCACCGGTGAAGATTGGGGGACGGAGACTTCATACTTGGCGTACTACGTCCCGATTCCCATTCTGAGGAGGGTGGCTGTTGTTGAGGAGGGCGTTGCTCAGCGTTTGGGTGATTTGCGCCAGCTGAAGCAGGCTTTGAACTAGCTGATCGTTGGTGGCCGCTTCTGAAGTCCTTGCAAGACGTCTTGATGGTTCCATCCCTGACTTCTACAGAAACAGCACAAAAACGGGAGGAAGCTTAGAAGCCCGCGCCCTTACCTGGTGCCTTAACTTAAAAGATCCCATAACAGAAAGAATAACAAAGCACAGGAAGCACAGCAGAAAAAGATACGAGAACTCACAACCTCACCGTGCGTCCTAAGGTTCATAAGACTTAGGTACTTAAACACTTAGGATTCGAGCTTAACTTCTTAAGGTCTTACACTTGAAAGCACTAACCTAGCTTCCACTCTAGGTTCCTAAAGTCCAACTCTAAACATCCTCGGCATAAACCTAGGCTCTGATACCAACTGTAACACCCCCGATTTATCTACATTATTAAAACTTAAATTCAAAGGTAAACAAGTAATCAATAAGACAAATATTAAGCGGAAGCTATACTAAAATTGGGAAAGCGTTATGCCACACCCATAAACCATGGGTGCACTGGCTAAAGACTATCAAAACAATAAGCATAACAAGTCTAGGCGCACAGGCCACTAGTCTAGGCACACAGGCCAACAAAAGATAAACATCTAGCATGGGATATATACTATCGAGAGTCCTCATCTAGCGCGCACTCCAGACTAGGAAAACCTGTAAAACATGGGGATAACACCCGGTGAGCAAATAATGCTGGTAACCCACCAACACGCGTTAAGTATCATAATATACATAGATATAAACAAAACCATTTGAAACTGGGAATACAGTATATATCATTTTAAAGCCGAGAGAGAGGAAACATCAATATGCTCATCAATCACTCCCAACAAAGGTCAAAGACCATCATACTCAATCGGACAATAGAACCACAAGCAAGAAGCTCAATAACAAGGTACAACGTACGACACACAAAGAAGAATTCACAAAAGACATGCTCTTAAGCAACGAGAGGCAAGATTGTAACACCCCGTGTTACGGCCTTCAATCCCGGATTAATTATATAATTAATCCCGTTAATAATAATTAAATATGATTTAATTCGGTTAGATTTCCCTTTAATTAATTAATAAGGCCTACCATGAACCGTGGGCCCTTGCCTAAATTAGAGCCTTAAGCCTATTAGGAATAAAGAAAGTAAACCTTTTACTATTCAGATTCTGATTAGGAATCCTAGACCTAGTTATCTATTAGGAATAAAGGAAGTAGGTCTTTTACTATTCAGATTATGATTAGGATTCTCGTTAATTAATTAATATGGTCCACTATGGACCATGGAACCCAATCCTTAGTCCCAAAAGGAATAGAATTAGCAAGCCTATAATATTAGTTCCTAATTAGGACTCCTAAATATATAAATAGGGAACTTAAGAGGCACCCAGAACCCCCCACCACAATAAACGACTTACCATCCCAAAAGAGCTCCAAGAATTCCCTTAGAAGAAATCAAGAAAGCAAGAAAGCTTAAAGAAAGACCTTTCATAGCCAAGGAATTAATTAAGGCTAAGAGGTAACCCATGTCTCAACAAAACCTATTTTCATAGTTATGATTCCCCCTTAGGGTTTCCCCCATATTATTGTGTATTGGCGAGATATGATGATTATTATTGATGTTTGATGTGATGATTCCATGAGGGATCTTGATGATCTTAATATTGGGAGATTCTTGATGATTATGGAATTCTTGATGATTATATAGAGTTCTTGATGATTATGTGTCGTTCTTGATAATTGTGTGATGCTCTTGATGTTTACGTGTTATTCTTACCGAATCTTGCAATTAGAAGACGAACCCTAGGTTGTATCGTATTATCTTATTCTTGGATTATCGGGTGGGGAAATCGCATGTTTGGGTGTTGATTTTATTTAGAAAAGCATGATAGGTTATGTGCCGTTCGTTTCTTGTATTCGATTCGTTAATTGTCTACGTGTTGTCGTTGATTGCATTGTAAAGTGTCTAAGCATGGTTTCGGGTTTCACAATGGTTCCCGGGGCGTAAAGTGTGAAAAGAGTCAGTGGGGGGTAGGTGGGGGGTAGGGGACCCGCCACCTACCCGGTGTCGAGAAACACCGCCCGGCAGCGGGTGGCCGGCGGGCGGGCAGCTGCCCGCCGGCGACCCGCTGCCCGGAACAGTAAAACCGGCGGGCAGCCGGCGGGTGGCCCCCCCACCCACCGGCTACCCGCTGGAAATTCGTCCCACCCGGGATCCCGGCTTCCCCGTTTGATGTTCCCCGTTCCCCGTGGTGTCCCAACGTACTCCGTTTATCGTGCCTATGTCTAGTTGGATATTTCGGGTACCGTTCGTAGGTTTACGAGTCTACTATATTGCATGCTAGTTGGATTGGTATCCCGTTGACCTAGGTGGAAGGAGTATGAACCCCTTAGGACTATTCTTAGTATGTGAAGGATCACGCATAAGTTTTGTTATACGCTTTCTCCCCCTTCCCAATGTGCAATGTGGGTTGCATGTGCTTGCTATGTGTTATGTGTGTGTGTTACCCCAATTCGGTTGCGATCGGATTGGTTATCCTGAGCTGCGGTTCAGAAGCTGGCTGCGGTCAAATTGATACTCTTGGGCTGTGGTCCACCGTTTGGTTGCGATCAAACGTTTCTATACGAGCTGCGGTTCGTCCTTTTTCCTGGCTGCGGTCAGATGACATCCTCTTGGGTTGCGGTCCACTATTTTGTTGCGATCAAACACTATGATGAGCTGCGGTTCATCGGTCGGTTGCGATCGACCCCTCCGTGTTGCGATACGGGGCAGGGTGCTGCGGGGCCGTGTCAGAGCTATATGCGCTGACCCTCATGTATGGGCATGCGATTGGTCCTGTGGCGCCAACAAAGTGTGTTATGTGCTGTGACATGGACGAGTTGTGATTACGAGTGTCTTGGGGGATGTGACTATGGGATTTATATTGGGGATTGTTCATGTTGGGTTATGATTATTGTTTATGCTTTGCCTTATTTGCCTTATCTGTTGTGAATTGCATATGCTCGTTATAACTGTTGCTTGTGTCTGGCCTTATCTGTCGAGTCATTCCCGTTTTTAAAGCTAGAGTTCGTAGGACATATCTTCATGCTCAAAATGGTTTTCGTATATCTATATATATCTCTATATGTATTGTATTTCAACGCGTTGGAGTGGGTTACCAGCACCTCTCGCTGAACAGATATATTTGGCTTTCAGACACAGAAGATTAAGTCACTGGAGTGCGCTAGAACTTAGAAGTAGATAGTTTCCCTTTTGGCCTGCGTGCCACGTTTACGTATTTACGCTTTGAGGATATTAGTTAGTTAGCCTGTGCACTTGGGTTCTCTAGCCCAGGTGTGGCATAGCACCCCGAACGCTTGTAATTATATCTTGGGATTTAATAAGATTCTACCTTTATTATAAGTTTTAAAAGTCTTGAAAATCTGGGGTGTTACAGTTGGTATCAGAGCTTAAGTTTTACCCTAGGATAAGACTCTTAAGACCGGACTTTATGACATTAAGCTTGAACTCTAGGTATTTAGGAACATAGGACTCAGGAATCTTAGGACGCGCGGTGAGATTGTGAAACCTACACATAACCTCCCCTCACTTTATCCCTCACTAATTTAAGGAACCTCCCCCTACGCTTACCACACCAGGTAAGGGTGCGAATAGATAAGTTTACTTCCACAACTGGGTAACGTACACTTACCCGATAAATCGCCTCGTCCTAACTCCCGTCAAAAGACTTGACAAGGACCCTGACCAAAGAAAAGGAAGATTTGGATGACTACTAAGAAGAGGCGTTACAGTCAGGACTGCTAAAAGGGATGGACTGCAATACGCACCAACCCAGGGTAACCACGATAACCCCCGAGTCAGACAAATGACATGCACCTTCCGACAAGTTGCCTTATCTCGGCAAACCCGGGTTGCGGCTACAACAAACAGGAAGGAGAACTAGGACACCTATCAAAGTAGCGAAGGAACGACACCATTAGTCGGATCCTTGGGTGCAAGATAAGTATATCGCGACACCTTGCGACCCCACCACCCCAATTTAAAATATCATCCGCCCTGAAACCACAGCACCTTGATACCCCTATTTGTTGAAAACTCCCACCCCGAATCCTTAATTACCTTAAGAGCAAATTCGCAACCGTCATAACCTTGCTCACCCTTTGTTGCGCTTAACCCAAACCCTCGGAAACCCTAAATTGTTATTGCCCTTACTCTAAGTTCATATCCCCACTCCGTTTGGAAACCCTGTTAAAAACCGTAGAGGAGCATAAGGCCCTTACCCTGCCCAGGGGCGTGAAGAACCGACATTCATTGATTCAATATTAAAATAAGTTGTTAGATAGGAATCGGCGAAGTAGGTGGAGGTTACGAATACGTATCACCCCACCCTTGCACGAAAACCGTGAAGGCTTCACGAGAAACCATAGCCTGTACGTACGCCACCGAAGAACGCCATGCGTTGACAACAGCGGGCAAAGAAATACGTTCAATGTGTCAGGGGCCCTCGCTACAGAAAACATCGTCAAATAGGTGCGACAGGCCGAACCTCAAGGAGGACATAAAGCCTTGCTAAGAATTTCATCCACCAAGGAAGGGATGAAACCCAATAGAACAAGAAAGACTAACCCGAAACCCCCCTTACCCTTAAGAACCCTCGGCAAGGATTAGGAGTCAAGACCTAGGGGTTTGACCCACTAAACCGACTGGGTCCAGACTTCTGGACATCCGAGGGGAACGTGCACGGAAACCATCACGAGAATTCCCCTGGAAGCCATAGAGACGAAGGGGACTTTGACACGGGAAGAGAAGATCAAACGAAAATCTTAGAATCAAACAAAGCCAAGGAAAAGGGATCACCAGTTCGACTGCACGCCACAACTAAGCCCCAAACAGGCATAATCACTCGAAGCCAAGAGTCCTTAGCCCCTTTCCCTCCCCTTGCCAATCAAGTACCATTTCGTTAAAGAATCCGTCCTATCACTCCAAACCTCGCTCTTGATCCCTCATTACAGACAAACTCGTACAAGGTGGCAACCTTCCTTCCTGTATTACGACCTTGAGACAT